CACATAATCTTGTTAACTGTGCTATAATCCAATATCCCCCTTGCCTTCTCCAATCTTCCTAACATCCCTCCCTTCTTAATTTCAAATGCATAAAACAAGATGCAAAACAGTACTCTCTCTGGACCCTTCGAGATCTTGCTCCCTGGCACATATCACCAGATTGGATTAAACAAACTTACAAAAATTCTCTATAGATTTGGGTGTTCTTACATCAACACACTGAATTGTACACTTTAAAATGGTTAAAATGGTGAATTTTATATTATGTGAATTTTACCACCGCTATGGCCAGGTAGCTCAGTTGGTTAGAGCGTTGTCCTGATACACCAAGGTTATGGGTTCATTCCCCAGTCAAGACACATGCAAGAATCAACCAGTGAATGAACAGATAAGTGGAACAACAAATTGATGTTTCTTTCGCTCTCTTTCAAAATAAGTCAACCAATCAATCAATCAATAAAAAGAATTTTACCACTTTAAAAAAAATGTGGGTTACCATTTTCCATTTTACTCTGGAAATAAAAATTAGAACAGAGTCTATCCTACTCAACCGCTATAGCACACACACACTGGACACCTTTATTATGGCATAGGAGCTCAGAGCTATCTGTGTGTCCCTCAGTCAAATTCCTTAAGCTCTCTGAACCTTCTTGGTCAATAAAATAGGCCTAATAATAGTATCTACCTTATACAAATGTTGTGAAGGTAAAATGGAGATGATACAACCTAAGTACAATGCCAGAAAAAGGTAGTTGCTGAACAAAAGTTAGCTATAATTTTCTCTGGAAACAGTGCAATCTTAAATGTTAGCAATAAAAATCTTACTTAGGTTGAGGCAGGCTAATAAAAAGCTAGGAAAATTCCTTGGCAAGTGGAATGGGGAAACTGAGACAGCTGAACAAACTGGTGGAGCAATTTATAACCAGATACAGGTCACCAGGGCAGAGAGCCCCCTGATGCCCAGTAATGGGCAAAACTGGTGATGGTCTGTACCCCCAGGGTGGCCTTTCCTCCCCAGGCACATCACTGGTCACATGGTTTAGACCCCCTGCCCTGGCACTGAGCAATCAGTGCAGTCCACAATGCTGAAGGGGCACACCTGGAAAAGCTGATTAATATTCTACTGAGATCTCCCCTGAGGCCTCCCCTAAAATCCCCACCTTTGGAAAGCAGACAAAACCCCCTCAAGACAAAGAATCCAGCAAGGGCCCTCTTTGGGGAACACCCACTCAAATCTCCTTTTCCAGTGGATTTTCTTTCTCTTAAACATTAAGACATTAAGGGTCCCCAGGAGACTTACAACCAGGGGAACAATGGGCAGCGGCAGCTCATCCCAGACTAGCTCCCTGAGCCTGTCCCCAAGGTTCCCTTTTCTCTGACTCTCCAGTGAACTGACAGCAGTTGGGCTCACTCCTTTCCTTGTTTCTAGAGCGCCAAAATAGCAGCCCCTCCTAGTCTCTCTCATTGCTTCTTCTATCTTAAGCTGGTCCTTGTTTCACTGTCCCCAGCTTTAATAAATGTACTCTCCAAATCACCTGGACTCATATTGTAAAATCTTTCCTGAATGAAGTCAAGAACCCACATGTTGGGAACCGCCCTGACTGGTATCAGAAGCTGAAACCCCCGCCTAGCTAAGGCTAAGGGAACGCCCTTGGAACCGTGAGCCGGCAAGGAGACAAAAGCTTATCTCCCTGGCAGGAATGCTGCTTCTGCTGCTGAACCCCAAAAAGCTTGGTCGGTTAGCCAAAGACGGGTAGGATTCCCCACGGGGGGAACAACCCAAGCCAGGCACGATCACTTTGGGAGGCCCCCCCAAAAGAAGGACTTGGGGGGCTGCAGCAAAAGGGGGTGATGGACCCTCACTCCTCGGCTTTGACAAAGTCTGAGTTCTCAGCATCCGGAAGAAAATCTCCTTATCTCTCGGTGGCCTTAGTTCCCGCGCTCCACCTAAGCTTGAAACAATGACGGGGTAGTACAGCTCGGTACTGGGAAGTGCGGATTTCCCGGGGTGATCAGGCCTAAGAAAGAACATGTAAATTACTGTGAAACCTTTGTTCAAGAATGCTCTCAGTTGAATGAGAAGGGTCTTAGGAGGAAGCTAGTTTGTTCCTCAGCCTTACAGCTCTTTGACCCCCAACTCAATAGACGGGCAGAGTTCTTTGTTTTCTATAGTTCCTTACTTCCCCTGGTGAGTGCTGTACTTTACCTGAATTATTATGCAGGATGAGCCTAATAAAAGCAGGTATGGACGGTGGATCGGCGCGCTCCCCCACTAGGGGGGTGGCCATTCTGTCCCTACTTCCCCACAGAAACTAGTTTGTCTCTGTGCATGTTGTTATTTCTCGCGTGTTTATTGTCGAGCCATCCACAGCGTTCCGTGGTCATTGCTAGCCGGTGACCCACGCGCAACACCCACACGCTACTGGCCGGCCATTGGCAGACCCTCTCTGAGCCCGGTCCCCCTTCCAGTAACAAAATCAAAGGCTGGTCACGAGCTGACTCTTTTAGGGGGTCTGGGAGGTCAGAACTATCTTTATAATAGTTATATGACATTATTTGCCGTTTTCACTGCAATGACATTTGCATTGAAAAAGTCATGATAAAACTGCTGGTACCTTAACAAAAATTAAGGCAGTAGCACCAAATTGTATTTCTAGTAGTATATTCTTCACTATACAGTCACAGTTTTAAAAATTAAAAAAAAAGAAGTGAGTTTCATTTATCCTTAATGAAGCAGTAAAAATGTTGTTAAATCTCAGCCCTTGAGTACATGCCTCTATTTAGTCTTCTGTGTGATGAAACAGGCAGTATGTACAGAGCACTGAGCTGTATACTGAAACAAACCGCTCTCTGGAGGAAAAGCACTTGTGGGGTTGAGTTGTGAGCTAAACTAGCCTCTTTATCCATGTGACACAATTTTCACTAGAAAGAACAACTAACAGACAAATTAGTTATTTGGACTTGGCTATTTACCTTTTTTTTTTTTTTCCAAAAAAGAACTTTAAGAAAAAAAGTTACCAGTATTTTCTACCAATAATGAAATTCAAGCATTCAAATGAAAATTCAATTTCTAGAAAACATGTATCTGCCACTAGGAGCTCAACAGCTCCCCAATACTTAAAGATTTTGATGAAATTAATAGTGATATTAGCATCTATTTTTAATATCACATAATGTAATATATCAACACTTGGAAAATCTGCATAATTCAGCAAAACAATATTTTCTAAATGACCAATGTTACAAAATAATTCATGAGTTAAAAATCCAAATAAAGTACAAAATAGATCAATGGATTTTAATATAATGAAATATACATTAACATATTCAGATTTCACACTACAACTGACCCTTTAAAAACTATGACTTTCAAGTTTTGCTGAACTATCAAATATCCACAATTGTCTGAAAAGCCATTAAAGTATTCCTCAATTTTCCAACTACATTTCTTATACGATCTAATCAAAAGAGCATATCGTGATAGACTGAACAGAGAAGCAGATAAAACTCAGCTATCTTCTACTGAAGAAATATATAAAAATATAAAACAATGCCTATCTTCTCACTAAAATTTTTGGTTTGGCAAATCAAGTAATTTTTATGAAAAATGTTATTTATATCTAAAAAGAAATTATATTAGTACTATTATGTTAATGAATTACCAAATCTTAAATTTCTCAGTTTTAATTTTTAATAAAGTAAATATTTATATAACCTATATAAAGCAAAGTTCTTTGGGCCATTCAATAATTCTTAAGAAACTAAAGAGATTTATGAAACCAAAAAGTCTGAGAACTGCTGTCTTATCCCTTGTTTCTGCTCACAAAGTTCAAAAGTAATATATCCCACGCACAGTAGTTTCACAACATAGTAAAGGTATTCGGAAAGCTATGACTTCAAACATAAAGGAAATAATCCATAGGGGTATCAAATTTGAACCTGGTAGAAATTTGTGAAATGCCCTAGGACATGGTGTCCCAGGGCCACTGGTATGCCCGCCCTTCAAGCACATGCCAAACAGTCCAGGACACACACACAAAAAGTGATTCTATACCATTTTTCTTCCCTTCCCTTCAAAATTCACTCCCAACTGAACTGAGACATGAGATAATTGAGATTGTCAATTCAAAATGTGATAAGAGAAATATTATAAGCAATCCTATAGGAAAGCAAATCAATTTGGGGCCCTGCCTGGAGACAAAGGTTTTCTCTAGACAGTTTCTGGTTCAGAGTGAGCTCTGTTCTATCCTGCCCTAATGAAAAGATCACACACACAAAAAAACTTCTAATTCAAGTTGGGTTCCTCTGCTCAACAAAGGTCATAACATTGAAAATGGCATTAACATCGGAAGTGGCTCTGAATGCCTAGGATAGCCTCAGAAACAGCGTGGACTGCAGACTGAGATCCCTAAAAGGAATCTAGGTGTGGTAATAAACAAGAGTGAACATTGTTTGGATGTATGTTTTGACGAGTTAGTAAGTGTTAAGCACTGTTCTAAAGCATTTATATATATTAATTCAATCCTAATAATCTTATGATATTGATATGGTTATCACCATTTTGTCCAGGAAGTCACTAGATCTGCATTATTTCACTTTTGTAACTATAACTGACACCCTAAAATGCCATCCTTCCTGCCTCCTATTATCCTGGAAAACATGAAGGAAACACTGAGTTCCATAAAACTAGACTGCTACTATCAACATTAATCATTCAAGTAACTTAATTATCAGACTAAAATACTTTTTCTACAACAAATTCCTTCTTTAAAATATCAGCTTACTATTTAAAAGAAAGAACTGACACACTCTTTGCAATAATAAGATCTGAAAGAAAAGGAATCAAAACTAACTGAATTTCCAGGGATGCTTTTAGGTAGAAATTTGTGAAATGCCCTAGGACATGGTCTCCCAGGGCCACTGGTATGCCCACCCTTCAGGCACACGCCAAACAGTCCAGGTCCTCTTGATTGAAACAAAGAAGCATTCCAGAAACATACCTGTTGGAGCCGTCTTTCATATGAACTTTGGCATAAAGAACATCCACCATGCCTGGATCATCATTCATGTATTCTATCCCTTCCATCTCTACTTCCAGGGGTTTGCCCCCAGAAATATCGCTGCAAAGGAAAAATCATTCCATTTTTATAATTATTTAAGCTAAAGGGGCTATAATAATATATTCTGAATCATGATCAATATAGAAGGAGATTCAAAATTCATACATGTTTACTATACACAAACTAGAAACACTAGTATTTCCGAAGTCACACTAGCGTTCTCTAAGAAAAAGTCAAGCAATAACAGTTCTGATTGACAAAGACATTTACTTTGTTGCCCACCTCTGAAGTTTTACACCATTCTTTCAGGCTGATCTGATGTTAGTAGATTATCAGAATTCAACTAAAGTTAGTGTCATCATTTCTACAAGTTGCAAACAGTATTTCACTCATATAACAATGATGGAGCTGTAAGCTAATATCACCTCTTTAAGAGTAATTTGGCAATATTTATAAAATGCCTTCAAGAAGAAAAACCCTGTGTGCAGACAATTCAATTTATGAGTCAACCCTAAGGAAATAATTACAAATTCAGCTACATATGCAATGATAGCTGATAAAGGACAGTTCTTTACAGAAGAATTCCTACTGATAAATGCAGAAGTAATGACAGAATTAGAATATTACCATATCACCATTTTGCAACTCCTGATAAAATAATGGATCTTAGCAAAATCATCAATGGCTGCTAAAACTTAGACAAAAGGTTGGAGAAAATATAAAGAGATCCTTCTAAAAGAGAGCTCTATAAACAGTGGATCAGGCACCACTCCCAAATTCACTGAACAAGCTTACCACACACACAAAAAAGAAACAACCAAACATGTGTCTCCTGATATGATGCAATAGGGTTTTGACTGACGCATTGTTTGGAGTAGCAAAAGACTGGAACAGACTAAATGTCCAATAACATAGGACTGATTAAAAAATCAAAATAGTATGGGCAGTAAATAAGCCATTCATGACTAAGAGTGCTTTTCAGGTACTAATAAGTAATGATTATCTTTTTAAGTTTAAAAAAAGTACACAACAATGTGCATGCTATACTACTATTTATGCAAAAATGGGGGGAATAAATATATATGTATACATTTGCTTGTATATACATAAAATCTCTGGAAGGATACAAAGATACTACATCTGTTGCCTTTAGAAGACAGCAGGGTGCCTGGTGGGATAGCAGTGGGAAGAAAACTCTTCAATGCATATCCTCTGTGCCTTTGAAATTATGAACCATGTAAATGTATTACCTATTAAAAAGTTGTAATTTTAAAAATATGAAAAAGAAGCCAAACACAAAAAGTATATATGCCAAACGATTTGATATATATGACATTAAAGAACAGCAAGATTAATCTATGGTACTAGAAATCAGAATGGTAGTTACTCCTCGAATGAGTGAATTTACTGGAAAAGAATTAACATAAAAGAACTTCATAAGGTGTTAGCAATGTTCTACATCTTCACCTGGGTGTGGTTACATGGTTGTATACATTTGTCTTAACTCACCAACTATACTTAATATCAGTGCATTTTACTCTATGTAACTTATACCACAAAGAAAAAAATACATATATGCATATAAAGAAAGTATGGGAATATATGCTCCAAAGCATTTATGGTAATTATCTTTAGTTGGTAAGGCTACAAGTGACACTTTTGTTTATCTGAAATTTTTGGCTTTTTTACAACTAACATGTATTACTTTCATGTTAAGTAAAACCCACCATCTTGTTTTCTTCACAGACCCCATCAATAGGATTATACCAACTTCAACCAGAAAAGGCTTTGCTGTGCCAGGCTGAAATCCAGCTAAAAATCAGCTCCCCACACACAGCCTTCTCCAAGCCCCACGACTCCAAGCCAGGGACTCTATCCATTTTGTCCACTTCTACATCCAAGCACCTGGCACAGTGCCTTATATAAAATTGGTACTCCTCAAGTCTCTGGTAAACACTGATTGGATGTTCTACTATAAAGGGAGAAGCTGTTCTGAACAATTTTGAGAAGAATGTGGACATACGTTATATCATTATTGAATAAAATATGGGACTGGCTCAAAGACAAAAAGATGCTAGGATCCACCAAAAGACAATTCCAAAAAGGCAAAACAAAAAAGTTCTCTTGATATTGAACTAAAGCCATAAAAGACTCTTTATAGCCTAGGAATTCTAATGCTAAAGATTCCTTTAAAACTTCAAGACCATATGATTGCACAAGATCAGATTTTTTCTCAGTAAGAAACTAAATAACTGAATTACTTTAGACAAATATTTGAAAAAGGAAAATTACAGCCTTGATGATAAGTATCCTGTAACTACCTCTAATGAGTGGTTATTCCAAAAACACAAGCCAAGCTCTGAACTATTAATCTGAGGCCTTTAGCTTCAATCAACAATACAGTGTATCTCCACTCCAAATAATAGCCAAAGAATTCAATATGAAAGACTGCCATTCAATCCCATCAAAGTGTAGTCAATAAAACATTTTTTTAAAGAACAGCTTAATACTAACCATACACTCCTCTACATTTTTTCAGCTTTAACACTGCACAGTTAAGCACCAGAAAGCACCATACTATTAGTTTCTCTTCCCACTAAAATGTTTTTACTGGGTTAATATTTAATGTTATATCCTTAACTTCTAGGGATTAATATAAGAAAAAGCAACGTGAACAATGTTTTTGTATCTTCTGCAAAACAACTGAAGATGCTGCTTATGATCATTCTGGTTTATTTATGTTAAGATTTACATAAGCAATTTTTCTTGAATTAAGAACCAGAAAAAGATTATCTCCTAAAAAGTTATGTTCATTTTTATCGGGTAACGACTATAATAATTGATGTGTTTCTTTCTGGAATTTAGTTCAAGTATAATGGTCCTCAAAACTACTAAATTTTAATGCACAAGTACAATTATCTTACCTTGGTTTTCAGGTAGAACTTTTCCCCATTCCACCTTTATTGTTTCTGAGCTCTCTAACTTTAACACTGCTTTTGTACATACATCCTCACTATAATAAACTACCTCAAATCCTTGGAATTAGATGGGGTACCAACAAAAAAAAATGAAATAATGAAACAGGATCCACAGCCTGCCTTATGAGTAGAAACAGAAACCTTTTCAACCTATCCCTAGGATTTATCAAGAGGGAGATTAAAGAACAGGAGAGAAATCCAATGGTTTGCCTGACAGATGCCCTGACTTGGTGACCAAACTATTTATTGCACCTGGAACACCAATAAGTGTATTTTTCAATTCACTGACATCTGAAGCAATAATTAAGAACTAACAGTTGTCCATGAGTATTTTTCCTCCTCTCCTCTCCTCCTTCTTGTCCCCTTTTAACTTATTCAGTTTAACCTCAGGCCTACTGGGAACACTCAGGCACAAGCAGAGTGATACTGGAGCTACAAAAGTGCTGCCTATTTGTCGGACTTGACACTCAGAGGCATCACACTGCTCATGGTCCACATCTCACAAAGAAAGGTCACCAGGGACACATTTAGGGCATCAGCATTTATAGAACACATGAAAAATTCACTGTGAATATTTCTTTACAGCTACACTACTAGTCTTTAGCCTAAGAATTGAAATCAAAGTTCTGTTTCTCATCAGGCAACATCCTCACACTAAAAAACTACCTCCCAATTTAAAACAAATATTCAACCATCCATTTCTTTAAAATACCTATGTAGCACCACATTTTTAATTAAATTCCAATAAAGCCAAATTTAATATTTAAATTTTAAAAGCCATCAAAGTAAACTATAGTACATTATACAAAGGTCTATTAATTTTCAATGTTTTAATTTTTTTATATTTTAACTTAAGGTATTTACATCATAAAAAGTTCAGGTTAGAAATACCATTGTTTATTGAAGTATAAAGGCTGATATCAAAGAGCAAGGGTAAAGAAAAAAAGTTAGATGATGCATTTTACTCACCAGAGCTGAAATATAAGTATCTTTTTTTTTTTAAGGAGAGATTTCTTCCTTTTAGTAGAACAAAGTATTTCTAATCAACCAACCAATTCTGATTCTTGTCCTCCTGAGGAATAAATTAATTCTGCATTGTATACTTTTTAAACAAGTATGTGTGGCAGAGAGGAAGGTAGAAGAGGAGTGGAGAGGTTTGTTTTATTTGCTGGTTTCAAATCTTTCCAGCTTCTTGAAAAGAACATATTCAATAGATTTTTTGCCTGCATTGCAGATTTTTGGCAGAGTAACTTTGTCCTATTTCAAAAGCTTTGCTGAACTTTAAAAACTACAATAACTGTTTTCATCCTGTCATGTCAAAAATTCTTAGGAACCATTAAGGCTGCTCTTCATTACCTATGCACAGCAACCCCAACACGCTTAAAGGACTCAGATTGGCATTTAGACACAAAAGGCACCAAGAGACATAAAAGAGAGGAACTCAGCTAAATCCTCACATAGCCCAGGATAAACCCTCAATGACTAAAAACCTATAACCTGATTTTTTTTATTTAAGGAGAAAATTTATTTTATAACAGTATGTTTAATGAGATTCTTATGGAATCTCCAGGATTCTGAAAAAATCAGATTCAGGGCTACACAATCAGAAACAATAGGCAAAAAGCAAAAAATTGGTTCAGTTAGGAAAACACTGCTGCTGCAGCATCTTAATCTGCTCGGCCGGTCATCAAAACACCATACACTGGGAGGCTGAAACAACAGACATTTATTCTCACAGATATGGAGGCTGGGAAGTCAAGATAAAGGTTCTGCTGATTTGATTTCTGGTGAGAACTCTCTTTGTGAATAGCAGATGGCTACATTCTCACTGTGTCCTCACATGGTGAAGTGCTTTTTCACAAAGTAAAAAAAAACAAATATTTCTCTGAACAAATATTTTATCTACCCTAAAAAAATTTTTAGCAGGATTATCCCAATGGCAGTCAAGAAAATGTAGCTGCTTTCACTTTCGTTTAGCAAAAACTGGCCTAGGTATAATTTAAAATGTCAGAACTCATTCTAAATTACTCTGCTTTGTAAGGTAAAGCATAAAGTTTTCTTTTATGCATGGAAAATTATAAATATCTAACTAAAAACACCAAATTATTTTGAGTTTCAGGTAAGATCACGAGAGAACAGTTATATTCATTACTGAACAAATGAGACAAAGAAGTATTCTTTGCTGTTTCAGGTTTAGGAAGAACAGGCAGACTGCAAACCCAATCAGCTTATGATTTTGCTCAAGAAAAATATTTTGTCTTCAAAACAATTAATGGAAAGAAGTGGCCCACAAGTGAGTCATTGTATTACACAGTTTCATATACAACATAACTAGAGAAAAATTTTTATTCCTTTATGTTGTTTTACCCAATGAACCAGATAACCCATTTCTACAAGGCAATGAAACAATAGTATGGGACTTGAATGGTATTAATAGATTTTTTTAAAAACAAAACTATTCAAGTGAGTCAGTCTTCAAATTTTCTTATTCTTCATCAATCCTAAGTAAAAGGAGTAAAGTGAGAGGAAGGCAGAGATGCTTCTTTGAAATAAATCTGTTAGTGCCCTGGCTAGTATGGCTCAGTGGTTTGAGTGCTCGTCTGCGAACCAAAGGGTTGCTGGTTAGATTCCTCATCAGGGCACATGCCTCCATTGTGAGCCAAGTCCCCAGTAGGGGGCACATGAGAAGCAACTATACAATGAGGTTTCTCTCCATCTCTCTATCTCCCTCCCTTCCCTTCTCTAAAAATAAATAAATAAATATTTTAAAGAATTTCTGTTAAGTCAGATGTATGTGTAAATTAAAATTTTACAGTAAAAAGAATGACAACTCAGGACCTAGAACAACAACGCTTTCTCTGAGTCAAAACATTTACTTGGGTAGTTTTTTGGTATCCTCACTATGACTCACACGAAATTACTTGTAATAATAAAAAAAGAAAGTGAAAGCCTGCATTTCTGATATACCTGAAGACCTTCCTAGAGGAGCATGTTACAGTGTTGAGTTACTGCAATAAGCAGAATAATGGCTCTCCAAAGATGCCCACATACCACTGTCTGGAATCTGTAAATAGACTACCTGGCATGGCAAAGAGACTTTTGCAAATTTGATTTAGGTTATGAGTTTGAAATGGAGAGATTATCCTGGATTATCTGGGTGGACTCAATCAAATCACGGGAGTCCTTAAAAGCAGAGAACCTCCCTGCTGTGGCCAGAGAGAGATGTGACAACAGGAAAAAGGTCAGAGAGATGCGATGTTGCAACTGTTGATAGAGAGGAAGGAAACTTAACCAAGGAATGTGTGTGGCCCCTAGAAGCTGGACTCGAAAAGCAAGGAAACAGATTCTCTTTCCGAGAGTCTCCAAAAAGGAACACAACCTGCCGCAACCCAATTTTAGTACAGTAAAACCCTATCAGACTTCTGCCCCACAGAACTATGAAATTTATATTATTTTAAGCCATTAACCTTGTAATAATGTGTTACAGACACACAGAAAACTAATACAGTAGCCTACTCTTTGATAGATAATAAAGAGAATTTCCTTTTGGAGAAATAATGGAATGTCCTATTAAAAGCAAAATTTGCCTACTAAACTAGTATAAGTTAAGGTAGAGGCTTTCTATAAAAGTGTATAAATATATGCTTTAAATCCACTTTAAATCTTTCAGACAATGGTCTAGTGTCAACTGTTACAAACAGGTGAGTCAACAACCTTGTTCCCATGTCACCCAGCTCTCTAGGCCAGTACAGGCAACCACCCTTCCCCACTCCTGTGGATTACTCACTCAATGAAGTCCTCTTTACACTGCTTTAGCATCTCACATGTCTGCTGGATCTCTTGCTCACTCAAAAGTACCAACATCCCAATCGTTAAGTGTAGTTTTTTCGGATTCTGGAAAATACTACTATCAACTCCACGATCCTGTTATCAAAAGAGAAAAATAAGAAACTCAGCCCATACAAAAATAAATGGTAGGAATAAAATTTAGAGCTCAGAAATGAATCCATACATTTATATATAAGCAACTGATTTTCAACCAAGATACCAAGACAATTTAATGAAGAAAGAAGAGTCTCTTCAACAAATGATGCTGGGACAAATGCTGGGACTGAATGTCCATGCAAAAGAATGAAGTTGGATCCCTACTTCATACTATATACAGGCATTAAATCAAAATGGAGTCATGAACTACTAATACATGTATCAATACAGATAAACCTCAAAAACGTTAGCTAAGCAAAAAAAGCCAGATGCAAAAAATGATGCATTATATAATTTCATTTATGTGAAATGGATAAAAAAAGGCAAATCTATAGAGACTGAAAGATTAATGGTTGCTTGGGGTCTAGGAGAGGACTGCAAACAGGCAGGATGGATCTTTTTGGATTAATGGAGATGTTCTAAAACTGGATTGTGGCAAAGGCTGCACAACTCTGTAAATTTACTGGAAACAATTGAATTGCACACTTAAGATAGGTATATTTTTGCCCTAGCTGGCGTAGCTCAGTGGATTGAGCGCGAGCTGCAAACCAAAGCATCGCAGGTTCGATTCCCAGTCAGGGCACATGCCTAGGTTGCAGGCCACAGCCCCGAGCAACCACACATTGATGTTTCTCTCTCTCTCTGTTTTCCCCTCCCTTCCCTCTCTAAAAATAAATAAATAAATAATCTTTAAAAAAAAGATAGGTATATTTTTTAAATATTTATTGATTTTTTTTTTAGTGAGAGAGAGAGGAAGGGGAAGAGAGAGAGTACATGCCAGGGATCAAACCCACAACCTTGGTGTATCAGGACAATGCTTCAACCAACTGAACTACCCAGCCAGGGTACTTTTTTTGGTATGTAAACTATACCCCAACAAAGCTGTTAAACATAAAAATGTGTATGCATGCCTTCTTTTTTGAAAGGGTATCCAAGAAATCCTGAAGCAAGTTTTTACCTATAATTCAACCTGCTGAGAGTTATTCGCAGAATAATTTAAGAGTGTTCATCTCTTCAAATACCATATGACTTCCTTTATATATGGAATCTAAAAAGTAAAATGAATGAACAAACAAAATAAAAACAGATTCATAGATACAGGGAACAGACTGAAGGTTGCCAGAAGGGGGGATGGGATGTCAAGGGGCTGGGTGAAAAAGGTGGAGGGATTAAGAAGTACAAGCTCGTAGTCACAAAATAGTGATATGGATGTAAAGTACAACATAGGGAATGTAGTCAATAATATTGTAATAACTACACATGGTACCAGGTGGGTACCTGAAATATTGGGGAGGGAGAACACTTTATAAAGTATATAACTGTCTAACCACTATGCTGTTTACCCAAAACTAATACAAAATAATACTGAATGTACACTCTAATTGAAAAAACTAACAATAATAATAATAATAATAATACAGTGAAACCAAATCTACTGAAATAAATTGGATATTTGGATACTGATACTGGGGAAAAAAAAAGAGTGATCATCTCTTACTCTATCTTTCCTTTTGATGACTTTGCCAAAGGTCTCTCAACCTATGTTAAAACCATCATGTACACATAGAGATCCTTGTAGATGATTAAGTTGGTATCTGAAATCACCGAGGCAAATACGGTTTTTGTTAAGAAATTATGTTGGGGCAATTGGACGGATCCTTGGAAAAAGAATACAATTATATCTATTCTTTGCACCACACACAAGAATAAACTCCAAATCAAGGACTAAAACATAAAAAATGAAACTATACAAGTACAAAAAGAAAACATGGATGAATTCCTCTTTAACTTGAATATAGACAAAGGCTTTCCAGCTAAGATCAGAAATCCACCCTGGCTAGTGTGGCTCAATTGGCTGGGTGTCATTCCGCAATGTGAAAGGTCACTGGTTAGATTCCTGGTCAAGGCACACGCCTAGGACTAGTGTCCTTACAAAAAGAGGAGCATAAGCACACAGAGAAAAGACCACATAAGGACACGGCAAAAAGGCAGATGTCCGCAAGCCAGGAAGAAAAGGTCTCATCAGGAAAAAACCCTGCCAGCATCTTGATCTTGGACTTCAAGCCTCCAGAACTATGAGAAAATAGATCTCTGTTGTTTAAGCCACTCAGTCTGTGGCATTTTGTTATAGCAGCCCAAGTGTCTCTAATATACCGAGCAAACCTACTTCTGGGAATTTATCCTGAGGATATATTTTCAACAATATAAATTACCTGTGCACAAGGTTAGTGACTGGAGCATTACTGGAAAATATCTGAATGTCCAAGTACAGAAGATTGGTTGAAAACCACATATAAACACATGTGTAAACTGACATAAAGAGATTTTTCAGGACATAATGGCAAGTGAAAAAACGACAGTGCACAAGAGCATATAGTTTGCTACCATCTGTGTAAAAAAGAAGGGAAAATAAGGAAATATACACATACCTACTTATCTTTACAAAAAGGAACACAGAACATATAAACCAAAAAGCAATGAAGTTGGTTCCCAACAAGGGATGAGGAGAAAAGGGGACAAGGGACTCAGGAACATGCTCCACTTCTTCTGAATATGCCCTTTGTACAGTTTTGATTTTTGGAAGCATATTGATACTCTACATATTCAAGATAAAATTATTAATAAGGATGGGAAGGAGGAAAAAAACTAAATGTTGGGAGCAAACTAAAAATTAACCAACTTGCATTTCAAATAAATACCAAATCCATACTAGAGGGGGTTTAAAAAAGAACTAATCAATGTAACTTAAAAATACAAAATCTGAACATATATCTCAGTTGGGGTTTTTGTAGATGTATTATAGGACTGAGCCAATGTGTAAGGAGGAACATAAAAATATGGAGTGGGCACCCTGACTAGCATGGCTCAGTTTCTTTGGCGTCGTTCCACAAAGCAAAATGTCATTGGCTGGATTCCCATTCAGAAAGGGCACATGCCTGGGTTGCAGGTCCTGTCCCAGATCAGGGCACATATGAGAGGCAACCCATCAATATTTCTTCCTCACGTCGATGTTTCTCTCCTTCTCTTTCTCCCTCCTTTCCCCTCTCTGTAAAAATAAATAAGTAAAATCTATTTTAAAAATTATGGAATGCAGGAGAGGAAGAAAGAATGCTCTGGGATGGAGTACAATTGAAGATATCTTTGTGAACTCTTGATTTCTAAAGTATATACAGTTGGCACTCGGTATCTGTGGGTGTCATATCTGTGGATTCAACCACCAACTGCATATCAAAAACATTTGGAAGAAAAATTTGGAGGGAGGAAATGCTGGGAGAAAAATTTCAGAAAGTTCCAAAAAGCAAAACTTGAATTTGTCACACACCAAGCACTAGGCTGACTCCACATAAATGAAGTAATGTGTAGACCTACCCTGCTGTCGCCTGTATGCATATAGACTATATGCAAATTCGATGCCATTTTATATAAGGGACTTAAGCATTCTTGCATTCTGGTATCTGCAGGGGGTAGTGGAACCAATCCCCTGGTAGATATTGAGGGACAAATGTATATGCACAAATACACACACACACACATATTTTCCAGCTCTGTCCACAGCAAAGGACCTAGCAGTAAAGATATTTTGAGCACACTTGGCACCGTTTTGGTCTCTAAAACCATTTCCCACAAAATGGAACCTGGGTTCTTAGAGGAATGGCTAACTCCAGGGTTGGGTCAGGGAAGTACAAGATAAGACTGAAACATCTTACTATGCCAGAAAGTACCGGAGCAATGGTGGTAGGGTATGGAAGGAAGGCATGTCACCAACACAGAAACCAGCTTGAAGGGCCCCCTACTGGTTAAACAAGGAAAAATTTGAACACTAAAATAATTAAGGAGAGTAGTAATTTATAAACTACTGGAAAAATAGGGATGCACAATCCTTTACCAATAATAGATGAGAAGAAGAGAGCATTGTTTCTTATAGTACAACACTGAATTGTAACTGGTAAATATAGCAAAGATATAAAAGTTAGAAAATCATAAGTTTGTAACCATCGAAGCAAGGATTGGTTCAAGAAAGAATCACCAAAGGATGTTAAATCTAAGGTGAAATTTTGTTGAGAAATTGAATCTTTGCATAGTCTTAAATGTCTCTCAACAGATTGTCTACTGGTTGTATGGAAAAATAATAGCAACTACACACAGAAGAAATCAATTGCACCTGGACTGGGTGGTGTAAAAATTAGCATTACTAACAACGGACATCATGTCTAGAAGAGGTGTGTTGAGAAAGCTACATCATCATTTATGCAATGTTCTAGCCAGAAATGCATAACCTCAGTCTACTTATGAAGAAACATCGGACAGACCCCAAATGAGCATTCTATTTTTTTAAAGTTATTATTTATTAAAGAAGCATTCTATTTAAAAAAAATAAAGTCAATATCAAGAAAGACAAAGAAAGGCTGTGGAAATGGTCCAGATCCAGGGAGACCGAAGAGACATGACAACTAAATTCAATACCTAATCCCAGGCTGGGTCCTGTATTAGAGGGAGGAAATGCTGTGTTGACAAAATTAGGGTATGGATGGCAAAATACAGATAAAAGTATCAATGTTACATTTATTAAAGCTGATAATTATGTGGCTATTATGTTTTTAGAAATAATGATTTCATAGGAAATATATATCAAAGTATTTAGGGTAAATGGCCATAACATACACAATATACTCTAAAGTAGTTCAGAAAGAAAAGAGAAAAAATGCTAAAACAAATAGAATAAAATATTAATAGGTAAATATGAGTAAAGGATATTTTCTATAGTTTTATAATTTTTCTGTGAGTTTAAAATTATTAGTATCCTGTTGCTGCTAGCACTAATTACCAGAAACTCAGTGGTTTTAAAACTACTCAAATGTATTACCTTACTATCTAGAAAAAGGAAGCTCTAGAACTTTTCTTTCCTTACCTCACTCTTGGGGAGCCTGCCACTTCAGCCA